CGACTTGTTGGGAAGTTGATCTATCTCACCATGACTCGGCCCGATATATGTTATGCGGTGCAAATACTCAGCCAATTTATGCATAGTCCAAAACAATCACATATGAATGCAGCATTGAAGGTTGTAAAATATCTAAAAGGATATCCTGGACTTGGAATTCTTTTATCTCGAGATTGCAACATGAGAATGACGGCATATTGTGATACGGATTATGCTACTTGCCCAATGACCGAGAAGATCAATCACCTGGTTTTTGCATTAAGTTGGGAAGATCCTTAATTTCATGGAAAACAAAGAAGCAATCAAGCTGTCTCATTATCATGGTGAATCGGAATATCGAGCTACGGCAAAGATTGTTTGTGAGATAGTTTGGATACAGGGTCTACTTTCAGACCTTGGAGTACAAATAGATGGGCCCAGCGAATTATTTTGTGATAATGATGCCGCACTTAAGCTAGCAGCAAATCCGGTCTTTCATGAAAGAACTAAGCACATAGGGTTGATTGCCATTTCACTCGAGATAAAATTCAAGAAGGAATAGTCACGACACGAGGAATCGGGACTGTGGAACAACCTGCGAGACATTTTCACCAAACCATTGTGTCAAAGACAACATGCGTATTTGCTAAGCAAGCTAGGCGTCTTCGACATATACAAGCCGCCCGACTTGAGGGAGTGTTGGAGAAAGGATTTGATTCTATCCGATTTGATCTTTGATATGATTCTAATCACGATTCGAGTCAATCCTCAAGATTGGAATGTTCGGACAATAGAATAGGAAAAACATCCTCATGTATATTCTTTCCTATTTCTTCTTTACCTTCTTGTATTATAAATACATCTTTGTACATGTACAATTACTCACTGAGAAATACAATTACAAATTTCCCCCACATATCCTCTTATTTTTCTGCCTGGCGACCACAAGAACAGATTTTGGTGGCCTCAGCGAGGTGGCAGGCTTCTTGTGTTGGTGCTGTCACGGAACCGACGTTCATTAATGAATCAGTTCTTGGTCATATATTTCTTTCGGATAATGACATCGTATTGTCCATAAACTTTGATTCAATGTACAATATATTTTTTATCTTTTTAATTTGTTTAATATGATTGTTGTGTTTTTAATACGAAAATTTGGTGAAGTCTTAACTAACGGCATTGAATAATAAATAAAATTCAGTATACAAAGCCCGATATGTCGCTATAAGTGCGCTTTAAATTATAAAACTTATCACGAAAATGTAATTGAGTCCTAAAACTTGCAAAAAGTACAAACACATCCTAAAACTTGTTAAATTGGTACAATCGAGTCCTTCTGTTGACTCCATCCAACTTAACTAACGGTAAATGCTAACGTGATTTTTTATAATATTTTCTCTCTCAAACATGGTGAAGACCTGTCTAAATCATTAAACATAAGGCTAACATAATGCCATTTTAGTACAAATCTGATTTTTAATATAAATTTATTTAAATTAAATTTTAAAAATAAGCAAAAAAAAAAATTGTGAAAAAAAGAGAAACCAGGTAGGGAGGATTGTAGCCCTTGTTGCCGCCACCCCACCCTCACCGGTCTTCGCCTAGACTTGGCCGAGGGCCGTCATTGGCGAGGGCCACAACCCTCACCTATGATCGGTGAGGGTGGCTGGCCACTGGTCAGGGCCTTGTGATCCTCGCCGACCCATGGCCAACCATCCCCTGCCATTGCTGGCCCTTCTCGGTATGGTGTGCAGGCCCTTGCCGTTGACTTTTTTCCTCTCTGTTTTTCAAATCTAACTAATTTTTAATATTTAGACTAAAAAATCATATTTGAATCAAAACAACGTCATTTTATACTTATTCTACTTGTTTCAGCCACGTCAGCACCACATAGGAGAGAGAAAATAAAAAAAGTTACGTCAATATTTTCTGTTAACCAAATTGGACGGAATTAACGGAAGGACTTGATTGCACTAATTTGACAAATTTTAAGACTTGATTGAACTTTTTGTAAGTTTTAAGACTTAATTGCACTTTCGTGACAAGTTGTAAGACTTCCGGTGCACATATCCATAGAAGAAAAAAAAAACTACTTTTGTTCAGCAATATGAGAATATCGATCCAATGCAAATCAACTAGTTAGAGTTAAAGGTCAATGGCCCTAGGATAATAATTTGTATTCTATTAAAAGTCTTGGCAGTTACAATTTAAGAATTCATCAAGATCATCCATTTTCCCCTCAATTCTCAATTCATTTGAAAATCATACAAACCAATATTAAATTTTTCGTAGTTACCATTTAAGAGCCCATACACTCTTCAGGGATTACCATCCATTTTTTTTTTCCTTCAGTAACATATCATTTAAAAGGACATTAACATATAGTAATTTTATAAGTTTTAGCGTTAGTTTTATAAGTTTTAGCGAGCCACCGTTGCCCCACGCGGGTGGCCCCGCCTTGTCCCCAGACTCGCCCCGCACTCACGAGGGACGTGATCTCCGTTCGAGACCTGCTCTGTGCCCATCCTAAGGTAAACGAGGAGACCGTATATTCGCCTCATATACGCCCCCCACCCCTGCAATACATTTATGTTTTGCCTCCCCATTCATCTTGCTCCACATTTATCTTAAACTTAATTTTAACGCTTAAAATAATGAAAATTTTGTATCGTGTGGCTTGTTTACTCTTGAAAATGTAATGAAGAATGTTGGTCAATTAGTATTCTAATAATAAAAAAAAAGGAATAAGGAACCATTTTTATGTAATAAATTATATAGTATAAAGTACTGAATTTGACATTTGAATGCTCATATCCGGGCCGAGGCAGGTCATAGGGCAAAGATGACTGAAGCTTCACTTGTTTCGTGGAAAATGAATGATTTAGAAAATATTTTCCGAAAAATGATCGCTTGTATTGCATATAAAAATGAATGAACGAAAAATATTTTTATCGTTCACAAAAGCTTTTAGACATAAATTTCTATCGACGATGAAAATATTTTCCATTAACTAATTATTTCAAGCGATATGAGCAATCATTTTTTGAAAAAAAAGTTTTATAAATCATTCATTTCGGCGAAACAAATGGAGCTATCCCATTAGGGATTGAGCAATGCAAGTACTTGACAGGTTGGTTAAATTGCCATCCCTAACCGAGATTTGGGATAGAAAATCTCAAATAGGACAGCATAGTCTACAATGTTCCTGCCCACTGCCAAATTCCTAGGGATTTATTTGGGGACCATGTAGATCTCAAAACGCAAGTGGAAGGTACAATAATCAATAGACACCACCGGTGCTATCCTCCAATGGTTTTTTTTTCCTTTTTGTGTGTGTGATTCATAAGTAGGCAATATGTGATTCATAATTCAAAACTTCGAGCCTGTTTGGCTTTTAAAAATTACCAAATTTTTTCCGTTTAATTTTCTATTTGAGAAAAAAAAAATAGTCCTTGCAAATCTGTAGTGACATTTCAAAACATCTTTGTGATCTTTTCAATATTTTCACTCTGAAAAAATTGCCGAAAATACCATAGAAAGTAACAAGTTAATCAGTGTAAATCAAACGGAAAAATTTCAACACAGGTTCTGATTTCTAGCGTATGAGATGTAATCGAGTCATAAAATCTTTGGTTCAATTAAGTTTGAACTTTACCAAAAAAGTGTAATCAAATATTAAACTTTCCAAGTAATTCGATTAAATCTTAATCGTTTAGTGAAAAGTCACACTTGTATATTTTGAAGTGACCCATAGGTAATTTTTAGTTCATCCTACGGACTTGATTGTACTTTTTGAAAAAATGTTTAAGATGAAATCAGTTGAAAAAGATTTGGACTTGATTGATTAAGAACATTAGATATGAGACTTCATTTTTCTCTATATCGAATTGATCGTACTTGATCTAAACCCTAAGAGTTGCTCAATTTCTTCGCTTACAGGACCGGGTCCTATTCAGCATACTTTCATCTTCACATGAAGCATAGACTTGTCCACTTTGTTAGTTGTGCAATGTGTATTTTGAATGGTAGGAATGCCCCAATCAATGAGGATTTGTCAATCACATAACTAATGACCGCCCAACAAGAATGCCAGGAATGGCTGAGATTAGGAATATTGTACGCATCATACGACACATATTCGATCCTCCACGTCATCAAGAAACTAGCAATGGCATGGTCGAGTTATTCACCCATGACTCAAGTTTCAATTTGCGCTTTATCTGATCAATGAAGTATGGAAAATAATTTGTCTGGTTGGAATTTACTTAATTATGATAGTCTCCTTCATGATTGAAAAAATGAACAGATAATTAAAGATGACTTTACCATTTAGATAACGGTAAAAAAGGCCGTAATCTGCAACGAAGGATTTGTTGTACATGGCTATACAAGTGCCAAATATTATTAGAAAACTCTATTTTATCCCAATATAAAAAATCAATTTGCAATCACTTACAACATTATACGCCACTATGCCATACAAAATTTAGTAAAATACGACATTAGCGTTACTGTTGTTTAAAAGATAATAATGTGAAGAAATGACCAAACGGTCGAGTCAAATTAAATGAAAATAGTTCCCGATGAATTCAATTTTGCGAAATATGACGTAAGAGATGTTTGGTGAGTGCGGAGTGAATCAAAATACAAGACAAATGAGCTCATCATACTCATATATCTTCCCACCGATACATTATTTTCAAATGATATTTCTCGTGCAATTTTATGATTACCGTCACTGTCATGAATTCAAAAATACTAGTTTCATATAAGTTGAATGCGTAAGAGAAGCGGGGTTTTTAGTAGGCATAAGTTTTCAGCAAAGATTTTGTTTTCTAATACTTGATATTTCTTTGCAAAAGGCCAAAGTTGGTAAGACCGTTCATTCGAACAGTAGTGCCTGAACTCAACCGGAAGTAAGCCTCAGCTTTATTATTCCGAACTCCTCGTGTCCGTGGCGTCCCACAGAAGCATTTGAGCCCAAGAAAGGCCAAGAACTCAGTCACCTGCCAGTTCCTACCTCCGGTCAACCAGCCACTTGCCTCTTGTCGACTCGAGATGTAACTCTGGATTTCGTCCCTCTGTCTCTCTGTGTCTCGCAGTCTCTCTCCGTGCCTATAAATGGAATGCCCGCCCTGCAGTCTCTCCCAAACATCTCTTGGCCACAGAAACCACTTGTTCTCGTTCAGGATTGATTCCCTCCACCCAACTGCCACCCGGCACGACGAGACAAGAAACCAAGCGCCGCCCAGGTTGGCATTGCCCCGGGACAGGGTGAGGCGAGGAGAGCACGAGATCTCCATCCCGCCGTGTCTGTCTCTGTCTCCCTCATCTGGGTCTCGCCGCTTGATCCGTTCCAGGAAGGAGAAGGTGGAGGGGAAGGGAATGGAGATGGTGGTGACTCATCATTACGTTGTGGGGACTCTCTTGGCTTCTGTGTTGGGCCTCGTTCTCCTCTACGTCCTGCGTCGGAGGAATGGTGACGCGAGAGCGAAGGTCCCGAGGAAGGACGGAGGTTACGTCACCACCCGTGAAGCGTCGCCGCGCGATTCCGCGAATCGCGATTGCTCGCCGGAGAATGGCTTCGGCGCCGCCGACGTGATCATCGTCGGCGCTGGAGTTGCCGGTTCCGCTCTTGCGCACACCCTCGGCAAGGTATGTGATTTTCATTGATTGAAATTAGAGAAGAAAGTGATCATATCAACTGTGATAATCTTCTCGAGTAAGTTTATTCTTTTCTTGTTGGACAGCATTCTGTAGAGCTACGGATCATCTCTTCGTGTTTGTGCTTTTAATTTGTGTCAATTCATTTTTGCATAAAACCTCCTAATTTTAACTTATAAGCTAAATGATTACTTGGATTTAAACAAACTCATTTGTGACGTACATAAGTGAAGCATCTCATGTCTCAGTAATTTGTGTTTGGCGTCGTGCTGTATTCCTATGATGTAAATGGGTCGTACACAGTAATGCCAGCCATAGAATAATCGAATCGACCTCAAGTGTCTACTCTCATTACTTTGTTATTCTCAGCCATTTGCTCCATTCCATCACTTTTTTTTCTTTTTTCCCAGCTGCACTAGTAATATATTTTATAAAAATAATCCGTGGTGGCATATGATGACCCCAGGCTTTTGAACAAATTTCTTAGGTTGAGTCTGTTCGCTCCAAGCATTTTGACTTTGTTGTGGAGGGATGGAGTTTAGTTGGTCTTCAGATATGTCAATTTGACAGCATAATAAGCTCCTGGTGTTTTCTTGTTCTTATTTTGGATAGTTAACTGGACATAACGCCTGGAGACTTAGCTCCCCTTGGTGTCTGTTTTTGTCCGGTTTAGAATAGCGGATGACAAGCGATCTCCAAGATTTCTGGGGGTTAATTCAATCTGACCCTGTCAATAGAAGTTGTTGAGTGCAAGTTGCTTGTTAATCATTTGGAGAGTCGCCATAATGGTCGACTTCTTAATTTGACTGTGGCTATATTAGATCAGAAGTAGAGCATTTCGAGAATTATGTAACTATGAAGTTTAGGGATAAATCCTAATCAAATAGTCTTTTGGTGGAACTATGGCTAGCAAGCTCAGTTACTTTACCTCACTATCTATATTTTCATGGCAGTGAATTCGTGAAACATTGATTGTGTGTGCTGGGACAGTAGAATTTGTTTCATTCCGCCGGTTTCTTGTGATAGATGTCTTTTTGGCTACTTGCATTTTCTTGGTCATTGCAAGCAAATGTCGCCTAAAGAAGAGCTCATATTCTTTATGCTTAAACTCATGGTCTCGTTCTCACCTAGGTGGCTTATCTTAATAAATTTCACGGAACATCATTTAGTTTACTACAGCGAAACATTACCATAACCAATGGGAATACTCCCTCCTTTCTTTCTTTAATGTATGAATGACTGCACCAATTACGGATGGGCCTGGGGTCAAATCAAGCTATTTCATCTTTTTTATTTAATTGATGTTAAGTAATGAACTGCAAAATTTATCACTGCAGGATGGAAGGAGAGTTCATGTTATAGAAAGAGACCTGACTGAACCAGACCGAATTGTTGGCGAACTGCTGCAGCCAGGGGGATACCTGAAACTTATTGAATTGGGTCTTGAGGGTAAGCATAAGAAAATTATCAGCCCTTTATCTTATGTATAAAGCTAAGACACCTCTCAAATACTTGGTTTTTCTGGTTTTCTCAGTTTTTTATGTGAGTGAGAATGTTTGCCCTTTGCAGATTGTGTCGAGGAAATTGATGCCCAGAGAGTGCTTGGCTATGCTATGTTTAAAGATGGGAAAAATACTAGACTCTCGTATCCCTTGGGAAAATTTCATTCAGATGTAGCTGGCAGGAGTTTCCACAATGGACGTTTCATACGGAGGATGAGGGAAAAAGCTGCTACTCTTCCCCAGTATTATTCGTTCCATCTTTAACATGATTTTTTTCTGAACTGGTTCTTTTTTTTGTTTTTTCTTATCTGTTTTGTAACGCTTGTTCATAATTTTATTTCCTTTATTGTTTCAAACCTAGTGTGCGACTGGAACAAGGGACTGTTACATCACTGATTGAAGAAAATGGGACTATCATGGGAGTGCATTACAAAACTAAGGCTGGTCAGGAGCTGGAAGCATTTGCTCCTCTGACAATTGTTTGTGATGGGTGCTTCTCGAACTTGCGCCGCTCACTGTGCAAGCCAAAGGTGATTTCTTATCTTTCAATATGTATTAACTTGAAGAACAATCCTGCTTGCAATTGGTTGAAGCTAAAATCATCTCTTTATTGTTTATGTCTTGTTAATGTCCTTTTCTTTCCATTCTGACATGATTTGTACAGGTAGATGTCCCCTCTCATTTTGTTGGACTTGCACTCGAAAACTGTGAGCTTCCCTTTGCAAACCATGGGCATGTTATTCTCGCCGATCCTTCGCCTATATTGTTTTATCCAATTAGTAGCACGGAGGTTCGATGTTTGGTTGATGTACCTGGTCAAAAGCTACCTTCTATTGCTAATGGAGAAATGGCCAAATATTTGAAAAGTGTGGTGGCTCCTCAGGTACTACTATTCTATCTTTTCTTGAATCCTCTTTGACGGAGTCAGCGTGGCAAGGAAAGGGAGGACGGAAGCTTACCTAATGTTTAATTAGGTTAAAACATAATGCACAATTCTAAGTGTACCAGGGTTGGTTTGCAAAATGATGTGGCAAACTATTAGTAGTGTTGAATATGTACTGCTTGTTCCAACGTCCACTTACCCTTTGCTGCATCATTTTCGCACCACTTTTGTGAACCAGAAGGTCCAGAACCAGTCTGAATATGCCCAGCATTCGTTAAATGTTCTATATGCTATATAGATTGAAAGTTTCGTGAAAGAACTTGCTTGTGTAGTTTTTTCTCCATAAATTTCTTTATAATTTGGCATCAATAAAAACATCTCCCAACTGTCGAAATTTTTTACTTTGATTAACCTATATAATATTTGTACCAGATCCCTCCTCAACTTCATGATGCCTTCATTGCGGAAATAGACAAAGGCAACATAAGGACTATGCCAAACAGAAGTATGCCGGCTGATCCCTCCCCGACACCTGGAGCCCTTCTATTGGGCGACGCATTCAACATGCGCCATCCTTTAACAGGGGGAGGGATGACTGTGGCCTTGTCGGACATTGTGATACTCAGGGATCTTCTTAAGCCTTTGCGCAATCTTCATGATGCAACAGCACTGTGCCAACATCTCGAATCCTTCTATACCCTGCGCAAGGTGATTTACTTCATATGCGGTTTATGCTTGTCTGAGCTCTTGAGTTGGCCTTGTCCTCAAGCTTAGATGTTCTCTTTATTGAACCTTCGGTGGTTGCTATCCTTGCTATATCTTAAATTGAATATTGGAATCATAGATGTCGATGGTTTAAATGTCCATGATGTTAGTATACATGGTTAGCCACAGAGTTTAAGGAGTAGGAGCTGCCTTCTGTCGACTGAAGCAGTAATTATGCAGTTAACAAAGTCGACTATGGATTGATAGGTTGGTAGTGAATTCGGCTCGAAATGGTTTTGCTTCCACTTATTTGATTTCATTCTTAAGATTGTACATGATGATGTTGACTCCTTTATGTGATATATTTATTTCTCTTAGCTGTGCTACAACATTGATCTTCCAAATTCATTGTTTAGCTGAAAAAAAAACAGTTCACATAAGTAAAGTTAAACCACATCATATGGATGTACTGATGATGGGTTTCCTTTCTTGCAGCCTGTGGCGTCCACTATAAACACTTTGGCGGGTGCTCTGTACAAGGTCTTTTCTGCTTCTCCAGACCGAGCCAGGAAAGAGATGCGCCAAGCATGTTTTGATTATTTAAGCCTTGGAAATGTCTTCTCAGACGGACCCATTTCTTTGCTTTCCGGCCTAAATCCACGTCCCTTAAGTTTAGCCCTCCATTTCTTTGCGGTGGCTATATATGGTGTTGGCCGACTGCTGTTACCCGTTCCTTCGCCTAAACGTCTCTGGATTGGAGCCAGATTGATTTCGGTGAGTAGCCTTGCCTCGTCATTTCGCCGACTTTAGGGATTTAGACGAAGCTAAAGTAATTCTCACGTGACATTTTCTGAATTTGATTTTGTATTACGCATTTTTTGTGGCTTCTTTTTCTTTCTTTGTATTAAATCAAGGAGTTACTCAAAATTCTGCAAGAAAACTCACTGTTTTGCCCTTTTTTTCTGTATTTGGATGCATTTTTTCATTAAGCATTCTACGTTTAAGCCCCATAAACCTCTAATTTTCTAGTTTTCAGAGAATAAACGTTTGATTTAGGTATCAAGCATGTCACTGAAGCAAAGCCCTTTTAATTTTTTGTGCAGGTGGCATCAGGCATAATTTTCCCTATTATCAGGGCAGAAGGAGTGAGGCAAATGTTTTTCCCTCGGACTGTTCCATCATTCTACAGAGCTCCTTCTGATAACTAAAGAAAGTGGAATGGAATCTGTCGTGAAGGAATGTTGGAGATTGGCTTTGCGTTTTTGCTGTTTGGAATTTGGAGTGAGATCGGTTTGTGCTCTCAAGTGTTTGAAGTGAGATCATGCAGTTGCCACCATGGTCACTAGCTTATGTGTCTCCAACTGATAAAAAGAATGAAAAAAGGACTTTGTCCAGAAAGGTCATGCTGCAAATATTTGACATAGTTTCTGACAATTGTTGTCTTCGGCCTTGCGCTCTATTTCCGTTGTGCTTGATACGAGAGAATTTCGCGGCACGATTTCTGTTCCATTTATTTCCTTTTCCTTGTTTTGTTTTTCTGGAACAACAGTTTACTATATGTAGAACTTCGACAGTTGAAACTGAACTGAGATTTATGGTCTGTTTATTTGAAGGAAGACTGTCTTTAGGAAATTGTTTTCTGACTTTCCAGTGTATCTTTCCAGTTGCTGCACTTACTTTCCTTTGGAGTAATTTGTACTAGTTCTTATTTCGGTTACGCTTAACACTCCTTGTCCGAATTGCCACAGAACCCAATTCAAACAAAAACCGAGGATCCAACCTTTGGTGAAAGTTATTTCGTCGGGTGGAGCCATTGCCAGCAAAACAAACTACAAATAACAACCTTTGGGGCGAAAAATTCACGTGTCAACAACGGACCTTATGGACTTGTCAAGTTCGTCGGAGGTGCTGCTGGTGCAACAGTAGCATGGCCTTTTTGCATCACTTGCATGTTTGATTGTACATGTGTTTTAAATTTTGGGCATCACAAACAGAAAAATCATTTTATTCGTGTATATGTTCTTTCGCAGGTTGCTCTTAAATGATGAAAGCGAGGGTTGATCTTTCAAAGGATAACTGTTGGTGGTTAGGATTATTTGGCTGAGCAAGTTAAAAGTAAATGTAAGATCATCTTGTCGAGACTCGGCAAGATCATACTCGCTCTCTTTTTATATAACTGCGATTGCTTCTAATTTGTAGATTTTGGGTACATTTGTTGAATATACGGTAGCAAAAGTGAACCATGGAGCTTTATGGAATGTGAATGTTGATGGTTATTGGGTGCATTCCAGGCTCCAAAAATTAAGAAATCGGTTTGGACATGGTAGGTTTTAGGTTTCTGTACCGACTCTAGAACCACTTACCCCTAATACTAATTATGATGCTAGACTGCCCCTCTAATTTTTCTATAGAATGGGATTGAAACGCCCCCATCAACTTTACTCATAGGGCGGTTTCTGGCGTCCCAAAAGCCCAAAACTGTTGTAGTGAATCCAGAAGAATATGACATGAGCGGGAACTGGATAGAGAAGAAGTGGTCGCATCGAGCCGTCGAGAAAACCCAATGACCAAGTTGGAGTGACAACCTCTGGTCATGCTTCCGGCACCAGCCTTTTTCCCCAATTTCTGCAGTGCAAATTAGGGGTGTGCAAAAGAACTGGGAACCGCCCGGACCACCCGGAACCGGACCGGACCGGCCCAGAAGCGACAGTTCCCATGGGAACCGGTCCGGTTCTCGGTTCCAATTTATTGGAACCGATGAGTACCGGTCCGGTTCTCGGTTCCAGGTGTAGAACCACCCACCCGAACCGGACCGGTACGCATATAGCTTCAGCTCGAGCTAACCTTGACATGTTCTTGTGCAGCTCAGCGTTCAGGGAAGCCAGAGCAACCTTGGTTTCAGATTCTCACTTGGGGATATTTAGACCGGTTCGATGGATCCACCCGGGAACCGGACCGGACCGGCAGTCCGGTTCCCGGGTGGGTCCATAGAACCAACGGGTGGTTCTCGGTTCCAATTTTTTGGAACCAATCTTTAGCGGGCGGTTCCCAGTTCCAAGGTGGGAATCGCCCACTTGGACCATGCTCACCCCTAGTGCAAATCCACGTGTGTCAAGCTTAAAAAGAACCAAGAGGAGATGGTGTCCATGACATGTTCTAGCGTCAGATGCATTTGCTACGTAAAGACGGATGTCAGGTTTACTAGGATTAGTCTGCGAAATCTGTAAACTAATGTTGACACCTATAATTAATTAGATTGTCGATAATTGAAATAAATAAATAGTAGACATCAAAGGATGACGTAGCTCGTACGAGACGGCTCATGCAAGCAAAATAGCTAGCAGGCACTGGCAGACACTGGCGGGAAATTTGAAATTCATAAGAGAACTGGCGTGCTAGCGCCAAAGTTATCAAGGGAAATTATCATCAAGGCCGTTGACAAGGAAAAAGACAGGTGTCAAGCCAAGAGGAGCTCGACGGAGGTCCTTGCTTTGGAAAGACAAGTGTCAAGTCAGGAAGAGCTCGACGAAAGTCCCTGCTTTGGAAAGACGAGTGTCAAGCTAGGAAGAGCTCGACGAAGGTCCTTGCTTTGGAAAGACGGGTGTCAAGCCAGGAAGAATTCGATGACGGTTCCTACTTCGAAAAGACAGATGTCAAGCCGGGAAGAATTCAATGACGGCTCCTGCTTCGAAAAGATAGATATCAAGCCGGGAAGAGCTCAATGACGGTTATTTCCCCAGGAAAGATAGGGGTCAGAATGAGAAGAACTCAATGATGGTTATTTCCCGGGAAAGACAGGTGTTAGAATAAGAAAAGCTCGATAACGGTTATCATCCCGGGAAGGACAAGTGTTAGAATGAGAAAAGTTCGATAACGGTTATCATTCCGGGAAGGACAAATGTCAAAATAATGTGAGTTCGACGGCAGTTATTACCTTAGACAAAAAGATAAGATCGATAGCCGTTAGCGGACAAATGTCATTAGATAAACAGTGAAGATGAGATAAGCGGTGATTATTGAACACGATGTCAAAGACGGTTACCGAGCCTACATTATAAATAGCACCCAGTTGCTAGAAGAAGCCCCGCGCATACAAACCAAAATGTTGTCTTTTTATCTTTACTTTCCAGTATTGCACATTTAGTTTCCGTAACTATAGCTATTTATTTCCCAAGTCAGTAACTTTGTAATATCGTGTCGACGAACTTCGGACGCCGTGAGTAATAGGACGGATTCATCTGAGTCCTCTATAAATTCAAGTCAAATTTCATCAATGTGTGAAACTTGTATTATCGACCAAGACAATCGGGTTCTTTGTTCACGCCTGGATTACTCCTATCCGGAATTAGATCTAGAACCCAGTCTCATCTAATAAAAAAAAAAAACCGAAGAACGACTAAATATACTCGTTTCTTATCATCAGACAAACAAAGTCTTATTCAACGACACCCGATTGACACTTTGCTTAATGTCTGTTAGAATATTTATAAGTATCAAACGATGCGTGGCTATGCATGAGAGGGGGAATGTTTGTCGATTTTAGAGATAATATCGATATACCTGATATTGCCGCATTGTAAATCACGTACCGAGCATAGCATGCCTCTACATTTTTATTTTTTGTCTAGTCTTGGTGTTCTTTCACTGTGGGAAAAACGGAATCCATCTTTTGCAATATTCTTCTTTTCTACCAAACGCAATCGACCTTGTCCCGACGATCGCCGCGTGGTCTGGGCTGTGTCAGCACCTTCAAGAACACGCCAACGCAGTGAAACGCCAAAAGGGTCCCTTCGAGAAACTTCAGTTTTAAGTCTTTTTCGCAAAGTTGGCGCTGTCCACCGAATAAAGTTAAAAGTCAGATTTCGTTCTGCCTCTGTCCACTGAATAAAGTTAAAGATGACAGACCCTTTTTAGCATTTTCATTCCTCAGTTCGTTGGTGTAGTTGTAGCTCTTGGAGAATCTCGGTCAGGCCCTGACAGAGAGAAGGAAACTGCGAAGAAGAAGAAGAAGAAGACGAGTGAAAAGTGAATGGCCATAGAGTACAGATGCTGCGAAACGGGGTTCTTCGTTCACATAGGGATCATCACTTTCCTAGTGGCCTTCGCGGGTCTCATGTCCGGGCTGACGTTGGGTCTCATGTCATTGAGCCTCGTGGATCTCGAAGTCCTTGCAAAGTCTGGCACACCAACCGATCGTAAATACGCCGGTACTCACTTCTGCGACTTGATTTAGCTCTGTTTTGCTGATATCTTACCCCCAAAGTGGTAGAATGCGCCCGTTCATGTGAGCCCAATATGAAGTTGAATGGATCCCACATTGAATGTTGTGCAGTGGGCTCACCTAATGCCCCCAACAATGGCTCTGTTCTTTGCCACTAACATGGAAGAGCAATGTTGTGAAACTTATTTGACATTTCGTAGTTTGACCTTTTAGTTTAGGCATGTTTTTAGCTGATTCTAGGTAAAACATGGTTATCAATTTTCAACATTACTCTTCATGTGTAGAAAAATATATTGGTATCACTTCTTTGAAGGCTGGACCTCCTTTTTATTATAACTTCGACATGGTGACTATAGCTAGTGATTATTGACAAAGGTGTTAGAAAGCCTCTAGCAGGTGGCAAAATCGACATGAGAAACAAAGTGTCCCAGCAAAGTGTTCAATTTCTGGACCTTTGAGCTGAGTCCTAGTTTTTTATTTTGAGTCCAACATACAGATCTGTGTCCATATCCGATCCCCACAGCTGAGTCCAGGTAACAAAGGATAAATGAAGGCACTATGATCGGTTCTGTCTGTTAAAAAAACATGCCTCACAACTATTCTTAGTTTTGCGAAAGCTTTGTGGAGATGCTATGGGAAGATACACCCTGTTGCCTCTGCATTTCGTTTGTATGGACACAATTCACTTTCCCTTTAGAAAAATATACACATGAAAGTGGCGAGTACTGCAAAGGACCAGCAGTCTGAATGTCAATATCCAGAAAGACGGATTATCTGTTGCCAGACTTGCAGCTTTTCAGATATATATCATCTAGTTGTTACCCTATTGACTAAAGATCATTTCATTTCCATTATAGAAAAGATATTGCCGGTTGTTAGAGGACAACATTTGCTGCTGTGCACCCTACTAATTTGCAATGCTGCTGCTATGGAGGTAAGTGAGGTGAATTGTCTCCTTTGCATTTTGATGAACAAGTGATTCATGTGTCGGTTTTATTTGCTGCACTTGCAGGCACTGCCTGTCTTTCTCGATAGTTTGGTAACAGCTTGGGGAGCTATTCTTATTTCAGTAACCTTGATACTTCTGTTTGGTGAGGTATGTTTTTATTCCGAGTAGCTTATTTTAAGTTGCATTCATGAGCATGAGCCTCATCTAGGAATACAATCTTTACTATGTATTCTAGTGAAACTTTTGGTGCAGTGCAACTTGATAGGGAATTACTGGAGTTTATTTGTCAAAAATACATATCACATACTTGTCTTTTGTCACATATGGAAAATTCCTAATTTGTACCAATGATGTGGGGCGTCCTTTAGCTGGGGATTCTAGTGTAGTAAATAAAAATCATTCCAAATGTTCAACTTTAGTAGTGAAGGTAGTGAAGGATAGTGGAGCAGATATCCTCGGTTCAACTTCAAGTGCTTACTGTTGCATTGGGCAGCAGGGATTGGGCTTCATTTAATCTTGGTCTGTCTATGTTCACATTTGAATGTACCTGTCACTCCGTTGCAGATTATACCCCAATCAGTGTGTTCTAGGTATGGTCTGGCAATTGGTGCAGCAGTGGCTCCGGTAGTCCGAGTTCTTGTCTTCATATGTTTTCCCGTTGCATATCCCATAAGCAAGGTGAGATTAGTACCTCAGGAATTAGCTTAATCCACTACCACAGGCTAATATCGTCATGAGATTCTGACAATAGCCTGCAAATTGTATATTGGCAGCTTTTAGATTACCTTCTGGGAGAAGGACACGAGGCTCTGTTTCGCCGTGCTGAGTTGAAAACACTAGTTGATTTTCATGGTAACGAGGTAAGAACAGACATGCAAGTCCATACCCTGGCCTTGATAAATAATCAAATTTTATCCTGTCCGATGTGTCTAATAATGGCGAGTTATGATTCTGTGATAAGCAACTCTTTACTTCAAAATTCATGTTTGCAACTGAGTGGTCTTTGAACCATCAGGCAGGCAAAGGTGGCGAACTTACACGGGACGAGACAACTATAATTGCGGGAGCACTTGAACTCACTGAGAAAACTGCAAGAGATGCGATGACTCCTATATCTGAAACTTTTGCCATAGATATTAATGCCAAACTTGATAGGTAGCACAAACTTCTTTTAATTATACAATATATCATGCATAGCATTTATCTCTCCTATGGCATTTGTCTCACCTATTTAGGAGAGGCATTACTTGGTGTTAGTTGCAATGGTGCAGAGATCTGCGCAAGTTGATTTTGGAGAAAGGACACAGCAGAATTCCAGTATATTATGAGCAACCAAGAAATATAATTGGTCTTATATTGGTAAGTTTCCTGTTAATCTTATGATTAATATAATGTGTTAGGTGCCACTTAGACTTGTCCTTTTTAAATTGATATGTAATTGAACCCTGGATTTCTTTGTGTTTAAATCCCTTCATGTGTTACGCATCAAGCTAATTAATTGGCACGTTAGTTGGTCAGCTACTCATCCAAGCCACAGCTTCGATAGCACTGTGATGAACTTGCCATTGGACCCAGAGAGCATTTTTTGTTCTTGATGTTTTCCTTCCTCTCGTTGCATTCTCTATCTTAAAGGATAGCCAGCTTTTTCTGCAGCTAACATGCTGGCATTTTGTATGAGTTCTGCTTCAGTTTACTTGCACTTGAGGAACTAAAAAAAGAAAATAACAAGAGTCAGATCAGTCAAATGTTACTGAGGCTTCTGCAAACTTTTCCCGTTTTTTGTTGCTCTCCATTTTTGTCTATATACTTCCTATTCAACTTTCAGGTGAAGAATTTACTGGCTATTCATCCAGGAGATGATGTGTTAGTGAAAAATGTAACCATCCGAAAGATCCCAAGGTATTGCCCAGTTCTGTGGCTATAGATCTCAATTGTGTTTTTCATCAATATGTAATTGCATGATTCAGTTAGGATAGTATGGACAGAGTAGGTAGCGTACTTTGAAATTAAGATCGCCAATGGATTCATCTAATAAGCATGCTAGATTTCGGTGCACTATAAGAAGCTTTTAGCTTAATTACGTGCATGAATGGGGAATGGCCTCTCTTCTCAGGGTTCCCGGGTCAATGCCTCTCTATGATATACTAAACGAGTTTCAGAAAGGGCATAGTCATATGGCGGTTGTTGTGAGAGAGCGCAATGATAAGGAGCATTCAGCAGCGGATCGACAAAACGAGGGTAAGAGCTAACTTAATTCGACAATCTCATTGCTCAAGTTAATGACGACAGGTGAAAAGAAGGCTTCCCGCTGGACTTAAGTTTGACTACATTACAATGAATCACCTGTACAGTGAGAGAGGTGAAGGTGGACGTTAACGGAGAGCAAGATTACCAAGGGAAGTGCCTAAAGGAAAAGAGATCGATCAAGAAGCTGAAGGATTTACACGGAGGAGATGCTAAAGAACTACACAGAGCTGCCAGCAAGAGCAGGAAATGGGCCAAGGACTTCCACTCTGAAGTCCTCTATATCAGTGAGGATTCACTCCCGAAGCTTGCCGTAGAAGGAGAAGCTATCGGCATCATAACATTGGAAGATGTAATCGAAGAGATATTACAGGTAACCCGCCTGTCATTGCTTCTCTACTTTTCGGGATTACTGCTTTTCGATCGGTATTATAATATTTTTATGCGATCCCGCTGACTTTGTTTGCGCAGGAGGAGATTTACGACGAGACGGATTATGTTGCTAGAAATCATGATCCAAATTCTTCATAGCGGTACTGTTGCAAAGCAGACACACTGGTGAATGTTAATTGGTAGAAGCTGTATTGATCTACAAAAGCATGGTATTAGAAGCTGATATGGTTGTTCAATTAAAGTCTATAAATTTGATATTCGATTATGTTTATCTCGAAGAATACTTATTCTTCAGACCTACAGCAATAAAATGTGAAAATGGCCAAAAAAGTAACTCTGAGAACCCATTTGACCAAAACACCAACCCCAACCTCATCTCCATCTCCACAAAACCAAGAACAAGAACAAGACCAAACGTTGAAGAAGCACAAGATCCTTTCGTAGGCTGATGCAGCATCAGCAATTGGTGCAGTTCCAGTGGAGAAGTTGAGCACATAATGTTCCTCTATCAGTAGTAAAAAGGCTTCCTTCTTGCAGTATTTTCACAGTGCATCAATGGTCCTAAAACTCAAAACATTTCACTTAAAAACCAATATAATTGGAACACCGGTAAACTAATTTCCAGATCCTAATGCACAAAATCTCAAGAAAAGAAGCGATCGAGGGACATATCATCATATCAGCAAATAATTCAACGTATTTCTACGCTAAACAAGCAATTATCGACATTTTGCCGGGAAACAACTGCAGCAAAACTATTAGGAGTGCACAATAGAAACTCGACTTCTTTTGCACGGGAAAATCATCAAGAGGGAGCCAACCAATGAGTTATGAGCTAACTAAGATATATTAAATGCTTTACGCCACCAATTCTTCGATGTGGAATTTTTTTTTAACAAAATTCACACGTGCATCCTAACAATCCCCCCCTCACATTGGAGCTAACAATCTCTCCCTTACATGTAAGCTCGCCAATAATTCAGGTATCTTTTTGCATCAAGATATGAAGTCTTGCCACCAGGCTTGCATTGTTACACCACAATGCCCACCGCCCGAAAATTACACCCAACTTCTTCCACCAAACATCAGCTCTGATACCAATTTGTTAGGAACGTGCAGCAGAAACCTGATATATTTTATCCGGGAAGATCACGAGTTATGAGTCAATTATGATATATGAACGCTCTACACCACACCAATTCTTCGATGTGAGATTTTTTTTAATACAACTCACACATGTATCCTAACAAAAACAAATGAACAAATCACTCCACTCAATTCAATCATCAAAACACAAAGTCCTGCATGCCCCCAAAGCCTCGCTAATCAAAGTCAAAACTCCAAATTCAGATCAACCCATAACAAAGTACAAACCTTGAATGACTGACAACAAATTAAAGTTCACTAGAAAACAAAAACCAATCGAAGGCGAGTGAGAGAGTGAGCGAAGGAAATGAGGTGGACTTGAGCGAGGGAACAGAGCGAAGCCAAAGAGGTGGAACTAAAGGTTATGAGATGTGTAGGGTTTTATTTTGTTGGATTTTTAATAAGTTTTTTAGGGCAAAAAAGGCAACTGGCCAAATTTCATTAATTCATGATTTCAGTATTCTGAAAATGTTGAAAGCTCAAGATCGGTCTTGAGCTTTCCGCTTTGCCAGGCCAGCATTTGGCCAAAGAGGTGGGAAAAAAGTTCCCACCATGGCCATGCTCTCAAGTCGTCATCGTTCTTCCCTGAGCAGAGACACCTCTCTCCTAAATCTCTCGAGGTCAATTCTGTTTGCAGCTGCAGAAGCAACGCTTATCCAACAACCGGCCTCACAATTGACATGAGCCCCATTATGTGATACTCACAGTTGCAGTTGATGTTGGGTTTCTTTCTCTCTCCTTGTAAGGACCGTTGAAGATTGACTTTTTAATGCATTATATTACCGTAGCATTAATGTGAAATTGTGGGAGAAACTGCTTAGGTGTGGATAAGGTTTTCAGGGCAAGGGTAGTGAAGTCATTAAATTTTGGGAAAGGGCAACAGATAGCTGGCAATCATAACGGCAACAAAGAACTTGCTCAATGTTTGATTAGAGTGCGTTTCGTTGCCCGTAGTTTTTCCAGCAGTGTATGTTGGATACAAATTATGCTTCATGTTTATCTTTAGGATCAGTAAATTGAATCTAGACTTGGAGAAATAGTGGAAATCCTGAGGCACTGGTTAGATACCTAAAGGAACTGCTCGATTGAGTTGCCGAACTACCGGGGAGACCTGCATATGCGAGATATGTGCAATGTTCTCAAGCAGGGACATTTATTTTTAAGTAGAGCATCATTCATTACTTGCTATAAGTGAAATTAGTGCGTGGAAAACCTCAAACTCTCATCTTGCTGATGTGCAATTCAATTTAGTTGCTAACTTGTTTCTCTGAACCCAGCAAAGAGGTAACCCAACTAGCCGGCATAGTCTGGAAAAACCCTGGATTGCTGCCCACTAATTTCCTGCACAGCATGAAATGTGGTCGAGATGGAAACTTCTCTATAGGTGAATTGCGGTGTTTCGGGAACATTGACCTCGGCTCTAACTCTCTTTTATTCACCTCTCTCCGTCAGACGAAGCTCTCTCTGTATTTGACTGGCCACTCTAATGCAGAAGCATCGGGCTCTATCAATCAACCCTCAAGTTTCACTCATGTCCTGTGGATTAAACCAACCGGCTGGTTAAGTTGTCGATTAATGAGGTTATCGATTCGGTAGACGAGTTATTGATTTTGTGGGCATCAATCAATCACCTTGTTGCCGATTTGTGAGCTTGTTGTCAATTCCGCAATCAATTACTAGACAATTAGAGGCTGTTTTGATCGAATCCTATGGTTGTTTAGGGTCTATTTGGTGATGCTTCAGATTCTCAGATTTTTTGCTCTTTTGTTTCCTGGAACAAAAAAAGAACAAAAATCTGTGTAGTAACATCAGTCAATTACTTCTTGATTCTGTTCCAAATCTATTCGTTGAACCCTAAAACCCTAAACCCTAAAATCTCAATACCTAAACACTAAAACCCTAAACCTAAATCCCGAAACCTTAAAACCCTAAACCCTACCCCTAAACCCCTAGACCCCAAAACCCAAAACACTAAACCCCAAACCCAAAATCGTAAAATCATAAACCGCAAAACCCCGAATCCTAAACCCCAAACCTCCAAATCCTAAACCTGAAACACTAAATACTAAACCCTAAAACCTTAAACTCTAAATCCTAAACCCAAACCCCAAAACCCCAAGCCCAAATCCCAAAACCCCAAACCCGAAACACTAAATCCCAAACACTAAACCTCAAACCCTAAACCTCAAACCCCAGACCCTAATACCAAAATCCTAAAGCCATAAATCCTAAATCCCAAAACTCCAACCTGAAACCCCAAACCATAAACCCCTAAACCTTAAAGTGTTATTTCCTCAACCACCATCCGCTATTTGCTTTGTCTATAATGAGTAATTTTCTTTGTGATTGTATTAAGGTCATCCAATTCTATATCATAATATATTATATTTTTATTTCTAGTCCAATTTTATCCAAAAATGAAAGAATTGTTAAGTCTCCACTCACATTTTATAATTAAATGAAAAATTGGGAGTAAAAATTCTTAAGGTCGTACCGAACGCATTTATGTTCTTTTTCTGTTTCGGGAATAAAAATTTTGTGCAGTTGCCAAATACGTTTTTTTACTCAGAAACTGTTTCTAGGAACAAAATTAGAAAAAACTATTTCTGAACAAAAATTATTCCCAGAAACAGAAACGTTACCAAACAGGCCCTTAATGACTATCTACAATGATTGTTTAGCTTTCAAGATTAGTGCACGAATTTAGAGAGTCTTATCAAGTTTCAATGCATCTAATAATTAGTCACATGCATTTAGGTCTCTTAATTCATAGCTTTTTATGAGTATTTATTGTCGCGTTGCTATTAAAATCATAATTAGGTGAATAAGTATGGTTCCTAGGATTTGGTGGAGTTTCTCTTTTGTTTAGTAATATCTCTATAAATTGAAGTGTAATCTCATGCTAAAAGAAATATTGAGAATATATAAGAGTTTCTTTTGTGTTAGCAAATATCTTTAAAGGGTGGGACTCCTATCTTGGAGAGTGTATTACTTTGACCCTAGTGCTCTAGCTCTCGTGCTGGAGTTCTCCTATCCTTGACGGGTGACTACACAGTCTAATCTATTCCTACTTCTTTTGACATCACTCGAAACATCACTTGCTCGCTTCCGTAAACCAATCAACATTCATTATGAAGGCAGCGCAATTCACCAAACAGAGTTTGTCTTCCAAAATTTGGATCTTTTCCTTTTCTTGAAAAAGAACTATCCTAATTCGTCTTGGACTCTTTGGGGCTTTTGCCGTCTTGAAAATCAGTTTGTGCTATTGGGATTAGAATACTGATGAGATGGTTCGTTGCGTCGAAACCCAAATACAAAGTACACCGGAATACTTCTGGGTGCTGCATACCCTTCCTTGCATTATCAGTTACTACTTAATTCTCACCTCGACAAAGCTCCAGAGGGTTTGGGGTTTTGCACCAGCTGATGAAAGTTCCACTCTTCGGTGCACATACAGCAGAAAGCACAGCCAAACAACTCTATAGGCTCAACACTTCGCTGGCCAAGCTAACTCGCTCCCACCTCTACACAGAATGCCTCCAGCTGTTCGTCCGAATCCGCGGGACTCCTCCTCACTTGAAGCCCGACCACTACACTCTCTCCAGCGCCATCACTGCCTGCGCCAATGCTCGCGACGCCGCGCTGGGCGAGCAGCTTCACGCCCACGCCATCCGGGCCGGCCTCAAAGCTTACCCGCACGTCGCGAACACCCTCCTTTCGCTCTACGCGAAAGCGGGAGATGTGGGTTCTGTGAAAAGGGTGTTCGGGGAGATTGAGAACCCGGATGTGTACTCGTGGACGACGGTGATGTCGGCTTGTACGAAGCTTGGGGAAGTTGACTATGCCTGTGAGGCGTTTGATGAAATGCCTGACAGGGATGTGGCAGTTTGGAATGCCGTTATTACTGGGTGTGCAGATAATGGGCATGAAGATATTGCCTTTGCCAAGTTTAGGGAAATGCATGAACTGGGTGTTAGGCATGATAATTATAGTTTCGCTTGTGTGCTGAGCTTGTGTTCTTTGGAGCTGCTTGAGTTTGGGAGGCAGGTGCATTGTTTAGTTACTAAGACGGGATTTCTAATAAAGGCCTCGGTTGTTAATTCCCTGCTTACAATGTACTTCGACAGCGAACGTGTTGGTGATGCTTACAAAATCTTTGGTGATGCTGAAGTGCGCGATGAAATTACCTTTAATGCGATGATAGATGGTCTTGTGGGAATAAGTAGAGATGAGGAGGCTCTTTTGATGTTCAGGGAAATGCAAAGGTCTGGGCTTAGTCCTACTGAGCTCACCTTTGTAAGTCTCATGAGTTCATGTTCGTTTGAGAGAGATGCTGTTCAATTACATGTTCAAGCTATCAAAAGGGGTCTTGAATCTTGTACTGCTGTTATTAATGCTGCAATTACCATGTATTCTGGCTGTTGCAATTTGGAGGCAGCTAAGACGGTTTTTAATAGATTGGATAAGAAGGATCTTGTGTCTTGGAATGCCATGATCTCCAGCTATGCTCAATTAAACTTTGGTACATCAGCGATCTTGACCTTCCTACAAATGGAAAGGCTTGGTTTCGAACCTGATGAATTTACTTTCGGAAGTTTGTTAACTAGCGCCGAGTCAACAGAAATAGTGGAGATGATTCATGCCCTTCTACACCAAAAGGGGCTCCTCTTGAATATTCAAGCTTCCAATGCATTAAATTTGGCATATTCTAAGCATGGGAAGATGATGCATGCCTACCAAGTGTTTCGAGACATATCTTTAAAAAATCTGATCTCATGGAATACCCTATTTTCTGGTTTGCTGTCAAATGGTTTTCCATTGCAGGGCTTACAATGCTTTTCTGAGATGTTTATTTATGATCTTAAGCCGAATGCATGTACTCTTAGTACTGCTCTGGCCATGTGTGCTACCCTCTGTTCCTTGGGACATGCAAAACAGATTCATTGCTACATCACCAGAAATGCATTTCTCTCAGAGGCTTCTTTGAGTAATGGACTGATCACAGCGTATTCAAAATGTGGAGTTCTGGACTCTTGCTTGAGAGTGTTTAATAAGATGCCCACGAGAGACACTGTATCATGGAATGCCCTTATCTCAGCTTTTGCTCAGCATGGTAAAGGGAAGGAAGCAGTGAACTGTTTTGAGGCAATGCGAGATGATTCTGAGTGTAAACCGGATCTAGCTACTTTTACAGCGTTACTATCTGCTTGCAGCCATTCTGGTCTGGTTAGTGATGGTACTCGCATATTTGACTCTATGTTAAATACATATGGCCTTACACCTCAAGAGGAACATTTCTTATGTATGCTTGACCTTCTTGGTCGAGCCGGATATCTAGATGAGGCTGAAACAGTAATAAACAGTCAGCACTTTCGAGCACTTTCTAGCTCATGGTGGACATTGTTCAGTGCTTGTGCATCTCATAACAATTTAAGGCTTGGAAGAGTTGTTTCCGAGTTGATTCTAAAAAACGAGCCAGACAATCCGTCGGTTTATGTGCTTTTGTCAAATATATATGCAACTGCTGGTCAATGGGATGAGGCAGCGAATGTGAGGAAGATGTTGAAGAGCAATGGGGTTGCAAAGCAGCGCGGTTGCAGCTGGATCAGATGTTAATCCAGTTGAACAGTAGATATGCATTATCCTGGTATTGGAAACATTACAGACTTGAAATGGGACGTTAAGCAAGATCTGAGCTGGGATAAAGTCTGGTAGGAATTTTCTGCAATTATATGTTGATGGCTTTTAGGAACTTCCTGTAATTAGAGTAGGTGCTTCTCTGTTGAGTGACGTATAAGTTATGCATACTAGCCATGAACATGTGCTTTGAAATGCACATGGAGACTGTAGACAGCTTGCTAATATGCATGATTTTACCCCAAAACTTATTTCAAAAGGTTCCTCTTTTATCATAAGTGTTCTCAAAATTTTTACTCTGATGTTACTCTTGGAGGTTCTAGATAAAACGATCTTTGCAATGACCTGGCCCATGTCCTGTACATTCTTTGATTTAGCCAAATTTGAGGATGGATTATGTCTGAATTTGCATTCACGTCATGGGCTAAGACTTCGTGAGATTTTTTACTATGTGAAAGATCCTGCGGACAAACGAGAGTGATTTTACATCAAAGAAATGCTCTTAAAAGGTTCCATGATTCCCCTGTGTGCAGTGCCCACTGTCTCAAATTGTTTGGCACTTGATATGCCTGTTCATGTCCAATATCTGAAGCCACCTTTCTCATAGATTATGTTTGATGCATTCCAATGGTGAGTTTGGCTGATGGAGATTATTGTCTATGACAATTTATTCTTTCTCTTGTCTTGGCTCCTGCAAGCAGACCAAGTTGAAGCTTGTTTCTTCTCCAGTAGGCCTCTGAATGCCAGTGGTTTGAATGGTTGCGTAATCACTAATGATACACATGCTTGCAAATTTGCAATATATCGTCCGAGCAGATACTCCAGCTTCTTCTATCGTTAATTTTTTATTTTACAAAGATATACTGTGCTGCTAAATTGCTTACTGACTTCCTCTGAACTGAAGTACTATTAATATCCTGAAAGACAGATGATCTGTTGCTAGGGTTGCAGCTTTTTGGATACATATCATCTAGTTGTTACACTATTGACTAAAGATTAGTGCTTTTGCATTACAGAAAATATTTCCGGTTATTAGACGACGACATTTGCTGCTGTGCACCCTACTAATATGCAATGCTGCTGCTATGGAGGTAAATGAGGTGAAATGTCTCCTTTGCATTTTGATGAACAAGTGATTCATGTCTCGGTTTTGTTTGTTGCGCTTGCAGTTGCAGGCACTGCCTGTCTTTCTTGATAGTTCAGTGACCTTGAAACTTTTGTTTGGTGAGGTATGTTTTCATTCCGGGTAGCTTATTTTAACTTGCATTCATGAGCATGAGCCTCATCTAGGAATACGATCTTTACTGCTCATCCTAGCGAAACTCTGATACAATGCAACTTGTTAGGGAATTACTGGAGAAATGTACCCGTTACTCTGTTGCAGATTATACCCCAAGCAGTGTGTTCTGGCAATTGGTGCAGCAGTGTCTCCAGTAGTCCATGTTCTTGTCTTCATCTGTTTTCATGTTGCATAAGGTGAGATTTCGTACCTCAAGAATTAGCTTAATCCACTAACGCAGTTTTTAGGCTAATATGGTCATAAGATTCTGACAATAGTGTGCAAATTGTATATTGGCAGCTTTTGGATTTCCTTCTAGGAAAAGGACAGGAGGCTCTGTTTTGCCGTGCTGAGTTGAAAACACTTGTTGATTTACAGGGTAACGAGGTAAGAACATACATGCAAATCCAAACCCTGGACTTGATAAGTTATCAAATTTCATCCTGCTTGATGCTCATTTGGTTGATCTAATAATGGCTAGTTGTTATTCTGTGATATGCAACTTTTTACTTCATAATCCATGAGTGGTCTTTGACACATCTGGCAGGAAAAGGTGGCAAAGTTGCACGCAACAAGACGACTCTAATTGCAGGAGCACTTGAACTCACTGAGAAAACTGCAAGAGATGCGATGACACCTATATCTGTAACTTTTGCCATAGATATTAATGCCAAACTTCATAGGTAGCACAATTTTTCAATTATACAATATAACATGCATGGCATTTGTCTCACCTATATAGGGGAGGCATTACTTGGTGTTAGTTGCAACGGTGCAGAGATATGCTCAAGTTGACTTTGGAGAAAGAACACAGCAGAAATCCAGTATATTATGAGCAAAAAAGAAATACAATTGGTCTTATATTCGTAATTTCGAGTTAATATGATGTCTACAACGCCACTTAGACATGTCGTTTTTATATGGGGTATGTTCACTAGAAGTTTTAAAACTTTTCACTAAAGTGCAATTGAGTCATAAAACTTGCAAAAAGTGCAATCAAGTCTTAAAACTTATCAAGTTGTTGCAATCGAGTTCTAAAGTTAAAACTATCAATTTGTCTAACGGAATATGCTAACGTGACATTTTTAAATCAATTTATCTATCCTACGTGGCTTTTTATTATTATTCTTCTTTTTTAAATATTATTTAAATTAGATTAAAAAGTAAAGAAAGCTAAAATTTTATTTAAAAAAGCAATAATGGAAAAAAAGAAGAGGAGGCCTCGCTGGTAGGGCGCTACCGCCGCCGCCCAACGCTAGCCTTGGGCGAGGGTCGTCGACCCTTGCCTGGGGTCCGCGAGGCTCACCTAGATTAGGGCAACGCCTCGCCGGCCCTTGCATGGGGCCAGCACGACTCGCCCAGATCTAGGCGTCGCCTCGCCCTCACTAGGGCTTGGCGAGCCTCGCCGGCCCAAGCGACGGCCGAATTCGCCTAGATTTGGGCGAGCGCCGACCGCCCTAGTCTAGGGAGCAAAATAAGAACAATTCACATCACATTTGACCAAACTAAAAAGGGGACCACTTTTGTAGAGTTGTAACTAAAATGGTCGGCCACACAAGAAATAGTATGATCAAAACACAAAGATAAGAAGTGTCTAAGCTAAATGAGGAGTTGAAAAAGCGAGCCCTATAAGAAATCATATCTCCCCATATGATAGTTTTATCCTGATAATCCCTTTTATATCCAACCTTATCCTATCTTGAGTAACTGCCAAACATAACCTTAAAGGATACATGTTCTTTCAGGTACTTGATTTGTTTTTCTTTGTCTCTTATTAGACATTGATTTCCTTTTCATAGATCGGGGTGGGCTTGCAAGAGATTAAGGTTCTCTGTTATATGTTCTGTAACAAATCTGAAGCTAATTCATCTCCAAGAACTTTTGTTTCTATCCCCTGGTATGTTACTTTGAAAAGGTTTAATTAATTTTATAAATGGTGTCCCTAGAATTACATTATAGTCAACATTTATTGCCAAAAGAAAAGATGTTTGTTCGTAATACTCTATTGCTTCAGTGTTTAGGGAGTTTTGCCGACAAGGTTGGCCAACGTGCACAAACTTGTCGAGAACCAATGCCTCTCATATGATGATGGCCATATCATGCCAAAACTAGTTATTATAGATCGGTCACAATGAGGCATTTCACGATACAGGCCATACGAGCGATTGTTGAAAAGGAAAGTTGGCCCAATGAACTTGTTGGCCAAGCGTCGCATGGGCCTATGACTAAGGCCGATCGACTCGAGTCGCGACACTAGTAATCTCCAAGCGTAGCAATAAGAAGTCTAGTTCAGTATACAGTTTATGGAAAGATTAATTTAAGTAATTATTTCTTAAAAAGGATCTATTCTAGATAATTGTCCTTTAATCCTCCCCTTATGGTTTTGAATTAAAACCTTGTTGAAAGTACTTCGTGAAACATCATGTCGATGTGAGAAGCATAAGCTATTAAAATTGCAGAGGGAGTTTAACTAGTTGAGTTGCACGAAAACTGACCCGGGCACTTCCTAACAGCTAAAAGAGAAAAAGAAAGGTAGATTTCTTTCTCAAATCCTATAAGTTGATTTTGGTTGTCGCAATACATGCGCACTTTCTTAATTCCCCTTTTCCAAATGAATCGTTCTTTCTAATTCAAAAAGAAAATAACGAGCAATCCATATCTAATCTAAATAAAGAAAGAACATAGAGATACGCTTGGAAATGTCTATGCGTTCCTCGTCAATCCTCGAAGGAACAGCTTCTCTTACTTTATTTGTTCGAGATTGTCGCATGTCTATTCCCCTTCATTTTTATAATATTGGTTGGGCTCAAAATCCGCAAAAAGACAAAAAGCTTCACGTGTTGATTTTGTGACCGCATTAAGCAAAAAAAAGTATTTTTTTAAAGCTTAATTAACTAGTCTTTAACAAAATCCTTTTTCTTATTTCAGTCTCCTCAGACACTTCTTAATAAAAATCTTATTAATTATTTTAGGTGCTAGATTTTGACTTGGACTTTTCCTCTCAATCTTTGAAAAAATTGTCAAAAAAAAAAATAAATCCCGAAACTATTAGACTTTTGCCAATTCAATCCTGAACTTTTTTTATGTTTTTCCAATTGAGTCCATCTGGCCAATTTTGACCAGAAATTGTTGATGTGGACTTCGATGATCTTATATGACACTTCTGATGCTAACCTAAACAAATTTTAATAATATTTTTAAAATTTTAAAATTTTCCTTTTTATTTTCTCTAGTTGGTCACCGCTTGCTCGTGTGTGCCGGCCACCTGGCTCGACGTTGCCGTTTCTCGGCGTGACCTCGTCATTGCCGGGCAAGGGAGAACCTAGCCACGGCGAGGCTTGCCCTCGCCAAGGGCGAACAGGGCTTGGCCTCGCCAGGGGCCTGTGGGGGCGATCTTCGCCAGAGGCCGGCGAGGAGAGAGGAAGAAAGGCAAAAAAAAAGAGGAAAAAAAGAAAAAGAAAATAATAAATAAAATAAATTGAAAAAATATTAATATATTATTAAAAATTGTCTGCGTAATGTTATGTCACTTAGGATGGTCGACATCCATATTAGCGATTTCAACTAAAATTGATCTGATGGATTCAATTGATAAAAAGTAACAATTCTTTTAATATAATTGGCACAATGAAAAGGTCTACAACGATAGATTTACCATCTTTTGGACAATTTTTTTCCCTAAAATCATTACTTTCCTTTTTTTTTAACTTCATTTTTTCCAAAAGTAGGAAGGTAGAGAGAATCTACGCTTAAGTCGTACTCCACCTTCGTCTAGGTTAAAATAGGACCCGGAATCAGAGCAGCCACAAAGACCACAACTTTGCGTTCCCTTCTCTCGCTCTCTCTCTCTCCCTCTCTCTGTGAACCAGTCACGCGCAGAGAGCTAAAATGGAGAGAACTGCAGCGTTGGCGGCTCAGCAACCGAATTACCTGATTGGCCCCTCCCGCCATGGCCATGCCCTCAGGCCCTCCTCGTCCTTCCCCGAGAAGAGATACCCTTGTCCCACATCTCTCAGGGTCAGTTCTGTTTCCATTGTTTGCGGCACAACGGAGGGAAAAGGAGATGTCTTGATCCCCCGCTCTCATGGTGTGTCCGGATCGGAATGATGGGTCTTGTTTTAAATCCCTCTTTTTGCAGCTGCAGAAGCAATTCCCGCTCGCTTTTTGCAGCGTGCTGCAACAACCCGCCTCTCCATTGATACGCAATGCCACCTTATCTGATACTTACAGGTAGCTCCCTCTCTCACCTGTTTGTTGCGGTTGATGTTGGGTTTCTTTCTCTCTCTCTCTCTCTCTCTCCTTGTAAGGGTCTTTAGAAATTGACTTTTGAATGCATTTGTGGTGTGCGTGAGAAATTGTGGGAGAATCTGCTTAGTTGTTTATAAGGTTTTCGGGGCAAGGGTAGTGAAGTCATGAAATTTTGAGCAAAGGGCAATAGATAGCTGGCAGTGATACCTGCACCAAAGAGCTTGCTCAATGTTTCATTGAAGCGCGTTTTGTCACCCCTAGTTGGCCCAAGTACTGTATGTTGGATGCAAAATATGCTTTCAATGTTTATTTTTAGGATCGGTAAACTGAAATTTGACTTGTAGAAATGGTGGAAATCTTGAGGCACTGATTAGATACCTAAAGGAACAGCTTGATTGAGTTGCCCAATTGTCGGGGAAACCTGCATATGCGCGATATGCGTATTGTTCTCAAGCAGGGACGTGTTGATTTAAGTAAAGCTTGATTCAGTACTTGCTGTAAGTGAAATTGATGTGATTGAAACTTCAAACTCTCATCTTGCTGATGTGCAATTCAATTTAGATGCTGACATGTTTCTTTGAACACAGCAATGAGGTAACTGAATTAGCCGACCTAGACTGGGAAAACCTCGGATTTGGATTGCTTCCCACTGATTACATGTACACAATGAAATGTGGTCGAGATGGAAACTTCTTTAAAGGTGAATTACGGCGTTTCGGGAACATTGAATTGAGCCCTTCTGCAGGAGTTCTAAATTATGGCCAGGTCAGATACTAAGTTTGGTTGAGACTTCTCCAAAATTTAATGTTCTTTTATCCGTAAATGCATTGCACTTACGGGCTAAATTTTGCTTGCTAACATAGAATTAGTTAAACTTTCAGGTTTTATGATTCTCTACGCTTTTATTTTTCGATTGTGGGAATGAAGAAAATGTCGTATTCATGCTCTAGGGCCGTTTTATTCTTCATTGTCAATTATATCTTTGTTGTTGTATCTTTAATATAATGGGCCTATGTGTTTTCTTCTAACACAGGGTTTATTCGAAGGTCTGAAAGCTTACCGGAAGCATGATGGTAATATCCTTTTGTTTCGCCCAGAAGAAAATGCACTGCGTATGAGAATGGGTGCAGAGCGTATGTGCATGCCATCACCCTCTGTTGAACAATTTGTTGAGGCTGTAAAGGCCACTGTATTAGCAAATAGACGTTGGGTGAGACATCCACTTTGCAAAGGCCTCCCTCTCTCTCGCTCTCTCTCTCTCTCTCTCTCTCTCTCTCTCTCTCTCTCTCTCTCTCTCTCTCTCTCTCTCCTATTTGCTTTAAGCTCGTGAATTTTTTTCTTTCAGATACCGCCAACCGGTAAAGGTTCCTTGTACATAAGGCCGTTGCTCATGGGGAGTGGAGCTGTTCTTGGTCTTGCCCCTTCTCCTGAATATACCTTTCTAATTTATGTTTCACCCGTGGGAAACTACTTCAAGGTCTGTTACATTCTTTCGTCTACAGTCAAGTTTATTAGCTTTCACTTCAGTCGTATGCTTTAATAGCAAGTCAATCCTCGTTTTTTGTCTCTTTCTTGTACTACAGAAAATTGTCTCTATATCTGGAACAAGTTGCTTGTATTGTACTTGTTGCAATGATGAACTTTAGCGTAAC